ATATGTCAGTGAGTCAGTTTATTTTTGTCATAAGAGCTTTGCACTGGAGTGAAAGAAAGTCGATGATAAACTCTATCCGGCAACAAGCTGGAATAAAATGGATGCAAGTGGCCAGTGCAGTGATAGAAGACGGTGGAAGGTTGAAGAAGAGGACTACTCAACTTATGTTCAAAGACGATTCCCAAAGGCGGATATAAATAGATACCATAGAATGAATAAATAAATAAATAAATTTCATTTATTCAGATTACAAAGATCCAATTATGTTAGTAACAATGTTCTTACATCTAATGTTAGTAGTAATATTTGACATTATTAATTATTTATCTAAATTTGCTCCTGGTTTATTAGAGCGGTGATCCAATGTCTTATCAGGACACCACCTCCCCGCTAAAACCATTAGAATACTGTTGGGACTGTCGAGCATTCGGTTTTTAATGGATGTGATTTAGAATTGTATTATACATGGAAAACATGAATTTAATATCAGTCCCTAATAATTTCAGTTTCTAATTGGATGTAGGTACGAGACCTTTAAACCTTTGAAAGTTAATTTATTTCCGTATGTTGTTTGTTGTCAACAGCATCCAGGGTCAATGTCCGAAGTTTAATCCGCGTTTAGTATCAAAAGTCATCATAGTTAGTTAATAACCTCCCCAAGGGTGACCCACCGAGTTAGAATTAATGAGACTGGTTACAAGTTTTAACAACCTAACCGGGAAATTATGACCTTTAGGAGATTTAAACCGCATATTTAACTATGAATATTGAACTGACGGCCGATGGGGCAGCAAGGTTCTGGATTGCAGGCCGCGTACCGGAAAACGCAGCGTGAGACGTCCACCTACAAGGTGGACCGACGACATCGTAAAGGTAGCAGGGAAGCGCTGGATGCAGGCCGCTACCAATCGATCAACGTGGAAAGCATTAGGGGAGGCCTATGTTCAGCAGTGGACGTCCTATGAAATGATGATGAGAATGATGATACATTAGACGTAATTGTTAGTGTTATGTCCGTTTTCTCTATTAATCCCTAATTTTTAAGTGACCCCTATAACACGTATACAAAGAGAAGGTTATGACGAGTTTTGTCGTGGTTTTGTCTAGCTAGAACAATCCTACATTCAAATTCAATTGTTTCGAATTCAGATTTTAAAATCATTTCATTCCTTTTGTTCGCTGCTAGTTTCTTTAAATAAATATCAGGAAGTGTTACTTTAAACAGAAACGTCTTTATTGAAAATGAATGTAACATTTTGCTGTTAAAATACCTACAGGAGGTTAGAAGGAAAGTTGAGAGACACTTCAATCAAAAATTAAATATTTGTCTTTGGCAAATTGGAAAATTCAAACCGTGTAGGCAAAAAGATGATATGATCCCACGCATAATATTATTCAGGTTGAAGATAAAATTAAAAACATTTGTTGCTGTTGTGGGTTATAACAATTATAAGTATCTAAGAATAGTTATAATGAACTAGAATTACGTTCTCGTATTCTATATGATTTTATCAAATTTTTCACGTGTTTATAAACAAAAAAATGTGTACATAAGATCCATTTCTACCTGTTCTTATCATAACATTATTATTTTTAGGGAAGAATATTTTTTAGGCAGGCTTAAATATTTTATACCTTTGAACTTCTTTGAACCCTGTGCTTATTATTATGTAGGCGTTATCCTAAAACTTAGCGAGTATCACGAAAAAAGTTTCAAAGGAAAATAAATCCTATTTACATTTTAGTGCTTAAGGTAATAGAAGATTATTCCAAGAAGTCGATTATATTTATTTTTGACTGAACTTTGATTTCAACATTTTATTAAGGAGATAAGATTTTATATCGGAGGTGCTTGAACTAAGAGTCAAAATGAAATCCTTTCACTTGGAACGTTTTTTGAGTGTTTTTAAGTTAAAAAAAGTAAAATGTAGTTATGTTAACTATAAAAAAAGTTTTACCTGAGCTGAGAACTTTTGAGCTTCCGTACAAAGCTTGGCCTAGTTCGAGAAAATGTATGTATACTTAGCTTGGAAGCTTTTACGCTGTGTCCTGATAATACATTCCTAATTCAGTTAATCTACTTTTTTGAGTATTTTTTAACTTTGTTTAATTTTGGTATTTATTGGAAATTTGTTTCGATGTGTTGTGTATTATTTAAAGATAAATAATTTCAATCAACCAAACCCTTATCTATTAAGATCTAATAATTACTCTACGATTTGTTGTATTCAACATTAATAATAAAGTTGGGACCAGAACGCCGTCCGTATTCTTCGCCGTGACAACATCATTATCAATAGGAACTTTGCCCAGAAACTTTGGGAAGTGACGCGGGAAACTTTGCTTTTGCGGAAGCTTCAAATAAAAGCTTTTATCAGGCAATTCATTTAACACAAATCTTCAATTATGAACACTTATATATACATGTATCTTAAATAATTTGTAAAGTCGCTGACATAGCCCGACGGATTAGCAAGCTGAAGTGGCAATGGGCAGGGAATATAGTACGTAGAACTGACGGCCGATGTGGCAATAAGGTTCTGGAGTGGAGGCCACGTACATGGAAACGCAGTGTGGCACGACCCACAAGGTGGACCGACGACCTGATAAAGGTAGCAGGAAGGCGCTGGATACAGATCGCTACCAACGGTGCGATGTGGAAATCATTGGGGGAGGCCTATGTTCAGCAGTGGACGTCCTGAGGCTGAAATAATGATGATGCTTAAATAAAACAATTGCAATTTGTATGACGGAGCATCACTAGCAAAATTGCGACAGATTTTCTTTTGTATTATTAACTTTTCAACCCAGGAAAGAAAAACTGTAGAAGTTTAAGAGGAATTTATCAAAGGGGAAAATGAAGGTGCTTTTTTCCATAAATTTCCGTATAAAGGAACAAAGTCTGTGTCAGCTTGTGTTAAGTTAAAGATTATGATGATAAATTGTTTCGAATATCGCAACAGTAAATTATTATAAAAAGTAAAGGCTACGAGCTCATCGAACTAAGCTCTAAGTATATGAGCAGTAGTAACATATAATGTTATTTCACAACAAATATGTACCTTAAATATTGGAAAAAAATGAAAAATGCAACGATATGTTGGCCTTATCTATAACGACTAAAGATTCAAGTTAGTTATTTTTATGTCGGACGTGTGTCTTCTATTTGTAGGACCACACACGGAAAATTGTATGAAAATGACGTTGGAATAAGAATTACCAACAGAGTGTATTCTGTCATGCAAACGCACGACTAACGTTCTGTGGGCTGAGTGTAAGTTTACATCAAACGCGTAATGTATGAAAATTTTAGTTTCGGCCGTTTGCCGCTAGGGGCGCTGTACAATCCATCATACATTTAATGTCATTTTTTGAACGAGTCGTGCGTACGAGTGCGCGCGTTTGACGTAACTCACACTAGGCCCTCTGCTCAAAATGTGAAAGTTTAAGTTAAAATTTTCCCCTTGTTTCAGCCAAACCAACGCATGAAGATCGTCCTGTCATTGACCGCACGTCTTGTCATTGGCCTATGCACGCGCAGTGATCGCCATCGCCGACGCGATCTGCATGCGTTGGTTTCGCTGAAGGTTTAAGAAAGCCTAATATCGTCATACTCATTTTACCCTGCTCGTACCAGTTCTAAATTGAAAGAGCTTTATGTAACGGAGAAAATTACATGTTTCGGAATTTGGTAGAATATTATCAATATTGTAATGTTTAGAACCCTCATACGTGAGCAGATAAAATTGTAATTACCCTTACAAACTTAACGAGACGTAAACTCGAGAGTTAAGGAAGAGATTATTCCTTGAGCAATTTGGGTTTAATTGTTTCGAAGAGAATGGTAAAATCATAAAAGTGAACCTAAAGTCAGAAGAGTTGACAACTACGACCCCTTTCTACTACTATCCTACTAATAATATTATAAATGCGAAAGTTTGTATGGATGTCTGGATGTTTGTTACTCTTTCACGCAAAAACTACTGAAAGAATTTTGATGAAACTTTACAGTATTTTATAACCCAGATCTGTGACAAACTAAATTTCACGCGGGTGTAGCCGCGGGCAAAAGCTAGTTTGTTATACAAATTGTTGTATTGTAAATTGTATAACATAGTAGAGAGAGATAAAGTAGGTGAAAAATGTATTTTTCACTGTACTGTAGTACTTACGGAAGTTATGGAAATCAAAATTTCAAGTGGTTTTTCTCTGGTTCGTTCGTTCGTTACTGCCAAATTTTAATGACGTCTACTGCTGCACAAAGGAGAACTTCTACAACCACTGGTTCTACACTGCCTGCATCCAAGGACCTCCCGCAACCCTCCCAGATCGTCGGTCCACTGCAATAAGTAGGTACCTAATCGGTCGAATTTATTTTCTGCAGGTAACATTTGTAAAATTCTACCGAAGAAACAATATGTCACATGCTTGATCTGATAATAAATTCATTCCATCCATTTAAATGTCATCGCCTAATGCGTCCAAAAGAACACAAATCATGTTTATTACATTTACAAAGAAAAAAGCAAAATAATAATTATTGGACACAGTGTTGCTCTCAAGATGCTCAGTGTCAGAGAATGACGTTTCACAACCTTTTGTTTCATTTTCGTTTCGAATTAACCTGTTTAGCAAGAAGGCTCGACATTTCGGAGTCTATTTTTGTGTCTACTTTTCTTCTTTGTACATTTTTTCCCGAAAAAAGCTGTCGCCGTCGGCAAAAAGGAAAATAAACAGGTTGAAAGGTTTAAAAAATATTTGATTTTGTAAAAATCACTATACAATCTAACAGTCTTATTGAAATAGATGTAAAATTACTCTTCATTGTAGTACCACAAAAAGTAACATAAAAATAAACTTTGTGAATCTATAGAAAAAAGAGATCTCTTACAAACTTCTAGACTTAAACAGCTAATTAAATACTTCTACTATCTCATTTAAATAGTGTGAAGACCTCCATGTTGTAAAAATGAGCAAAAATATTTCTTTCCTTTTCTCTATTTATCAATGAAGCTGTTTGGTTTCAATGGCCAGGTCTGAGGTTTGTTCCTCAAGGCGTCATATTGCTGCCAGTTGATGTACCAAAAAGGTCTGTAGTCTACAGGAACACTCTCGATTCGATTTATCAAGTTTCGATCGCCCTTAGTTTCGATTGGTACTGGAGCGTCTTCGCCAAATCGATTAGAAATTAGATCGATTTCACTTTGAACTGCTGGGAATCCAATGGGTCGAAATCCGGCGTAGGATGGCCTTTGAGCTTCAATCATCGTGATGATGGCCAGTAATAATAATGCAGAGATATTGCGCGCCATTTCTGGAAAAAAAGATTGAGTTTTAAAAATAGAACGGCAGTTTGATTTTTAAACTGGTTCAAGGAGTGGTACTTGAATGGTGAGAAAAATTGATCTTTTATTTTTAAATGCAGTTTTAGATTTTATCGGATTTTAATTAATGTAGATCAGGTATTATAATCGGCATCTAAGCCTTAGCCTTAAATTCCATCAATTAAAATTGAATAAGGCTAGAAATAATTACATAATCATTTTTCTGATTTATTTAACGGCACAATAGTGTGTGTTGCGTCTTTAGAAATTGATTCACTAGGTAAAACGCAAAATCAATGTAAAAATTAAAAATGTATAAAAAAATCAGAAAGCAGTTTCAACTTGATTTTTTTTTCTTTACGAAATAAACTCATCTAGTTTTAAAACTTGCAAAATAATTAGGATTCTAGATAAATAAAAAAATAACACTGGCTACGAATACAAAGGCACACAAAAAAAACACAACTTACCTAAAATCTCGATCGTTCAGCCACCCTTCAGCTCTAAGACTACACACACGTGGTTGCGAATATACTGAATTGTAATAATAAGGTTAAGTACTGGATGACTTGATTGTAATAATAATATCGTTACGAGGTTGCTTGATTATAATGTCAACCCCAACTGCACTCGGGATGCAAAGAACTCGTACTGAATGACGTCGACTGGTGCGACCGGTATATAAATACACGCGTGGACCCATCTATCACTAAGTAGACTTATGAGTGTGCTAGAATGGACTTAATGAGAGGGTCATAAGTAATTAAGTAAGGAATTGCCTAATGATTTATATTATTCACGAAAGAGTCATCAGTAGTTAAGGGATTTGCCTTTATTCAATCACTTGATAAGGACTAAATCTAATGTAATTACTTTATTATCTATTATTAAAATTGCTTTCAGAACACTAACGAGTTACATGAGCAATGGAGTTGGTGTTATAATAAGAGCAATTTACTAATTTGGTATCCTGTGACGTCATTTCACTGTGTACAAACACCAGCACTAAATACTTTGGTATCTTATGTGCTAGTGATAGGGGCTATTTTACATCAAAAATGTCCAGTATGATGTGCGGTCGACTGTAAAAGCAAATTTTATTACACAGCGGATAAATTGTTTTAAGTAATGAAACTCATTCGCCAGCAATCTATCACGTTCGATGACGTCCAGCATTTTGCGGGAGTTTTAATTAAAATGGGTAATTAGTTTTACAATGTAATTAATTTCCCCAGTTTAATGAGTGATGTGCAATATTTTGGAGATATACAAAAATAACATTTCCAATGATTAAACGCTGTGGCAGACACCATAATGGCAGTCTGCCAGTGTCCAGTATGTATTTTCTCTGGGATTAATGGAAAATTTACAAAATGTATTGTCATTTAAACGATTGAGACTATTAAAGTAGGTAAATGTAGAGCGGCATTAGTATAATTATGAAAAAATATTTAAATATTATTTAACTGATTGTTATAGTGTGTTGCGGGCTTTATGTGCACTGGTACGAACTGACGACAATAAATTATTATGAACTTTTAAGTTCAGAATTAATGTTAAATAAGTCGACTCTATCAATTCTTAAGTTTGCGTAAAAACCCACAAGTTGTATCAATTAATACATTTTACTCATACGGCAAAATGGCCACACAATCTGACCTGTAGTATGAACTTAATGACAAATAGCTGGAGGTCTAACTATTTTGGCTTTTGGTTTAGGTATTAACCTGGTTTGATTAATTTGTTGTAGTAGGTGCGTATAATGTAAATATTGGGATTGAGTAGTAGGTAAATATACATCGTTCGTTTCAGCCAAATGACGTCCACTGCTGGACAAAGGCCTCCCCCAAGGTTTTCCACAATGAACGGTCCTGCGCTGCCCGCATCCAGGCTCTTCCCGCGACCCTTACCAGATCGTCGGTCCACCTAGTAGGAGGCCTGCCCACGCTACGTTTTCCAGCCCGAGGAGGAGATCCGTAGGAGAACCAAAGTAACCGACATAGCTCGCAGAATTGCTAAAATCAAGTGGCAGTGGGCGGGGCACATAGCTCGTAGAGACGATGGCCGTTGGGGCAGGAAAGTTCTCGAGTGGCGAAATATACATATAAACTTATAATTAATTGAATTTTAATTGAATACGCCACTATCATGTACCTGTTAGCTTATGTATAATGATATACGAGTACGTCTTCCTACGCGTACCTAAATTTTGGGCTAGTCATAGAAAATCTCACGTTTCACACAGTCAAACTCATTTGACTCGTTATCTAAATCAAAATCAAAGAAAAAAAAATCTTATGTCATTATTGTCAAAATGTTATATATTTTTTTAAATTAAGGCGTTTTTTTAACCCTTTTTTGGGTTATTCCGTATTCGACCCACGACAACTCAACCCACTCATTATTTTTTCCTTACTCAACCCAATTTTGTTCCTTACTCTACCCACAACAAATTTTTAATTTTATGTTCCTTCGTTTCAGCCGAAAGACGTCCACTGCTGGACAAAGGCCTCCCCCAAGGATTTCCACAAAGACCGGTCCTGCGCCGCTTGCATCCAGGTACTTCCCGCGACCTTCACCAGAAGGTTGAAGACACTACACTCGAAGTTGTTGACAATTATGTATACCTGGGACAAACAGTCCAGTTAGGTAGGTCCAACTTCGAGAAAGAGGTTAATCGTCGAATCCAACTCGGCTGGGCAGCGTTCGGGAAGCTTCGCGAAATTCTCACGTCCGAAATACCGCAGTGTCTCAAGTCAAAAGTATTTGACCAGTGTGTGTTGCCAGTGATGGTGTATGGCTCTGAGATGTGGTCGCTTACTATGGGCCTCATAAGAAGGCTCAAGGTCACCCAAAGAGCGATGGAGCGTTTATGTTCCTTATTCACCCCAAAAACATTCCTAACTCAATTCGTAATCGAGAGGTTTTTTTTAACATTTATCGTAACAAAATGTTATTATTTGTTATTTAATAATACTACTACTATTATTATTTAATAATCTACTAAGACATTTAATTAAAACAAAAATGTTTCATTTTTCAAGTGGACCAGATGTGGAATTGTGTAAAGCAATCGTACTCATTTGACAGTTCATAACGTACGATTATTCTGTCAAACGCTTTGTTTAACTGACTTTATCGTACGTTATGAACTGTCAAATGATTACGATTGCTTTACACAATTCCACCTCTGAATGGTCTACTAAAAGTTGCCTCACTTTTCGTGCGCTTACTATCTATCTAGGCTTTATTAATCTATGACCATCATAAAAAACAAGAAAGCTTGAATGACACTTTAAACTTTAGAATATTAAATTATCCTCTACCTAGATATTAAAATAACAATCACGATTCAATAAAAATTGGACGTAAAAACCCAACACACCCAAATGTCTTCCATTCATCATTATGACGTACAATGTGACGTAATCGAGACCATCTTTGAAGATCCTTAGGCCCGCCATACATGGACAGCTTAAAGCAGCTACCCACCTCTCGTTCCCACCGCTGCAACTCCTGTGTAGCCAGGATCTACAGCTTGACCGCCAATAAAAACTCAACCAGTGAAGGTTAAGTTTGTCCCGGGGGAAAGTTAAACTGTCATTGGACCCGCAACGAAATTAATCAGAAGAACATAGGAGGAGTTCGAAGTTAAGTTTCGACTTCTCTCCATTGCAAAGCGGATGACAGGTGACAAACAATGGTTTAATAACCTTGAAGCAGCTAGTATTCGGCAGCTTTTAGGGCCTAGTGTGAGTTTTTTTCAAACGCGCTCACTAGCAAAAAATGACATTAAATGTATGACGGATTATACCGCGCCCCTAGCGGGAAACTTTCAAAAACTAAAATTTTCATATTTTTTTTAAACGCGCTCACTAGTGATGTAAACTCACACTCAGCCCACAGGTGAGTAACTCTCTATAGAACTGTAAGCTGTAACATTTTGTTGGTAGCGGCGACTGGTTGCGCCGCCATGGTGTCCCGGTGAAATATAGCCCTAAAAGGTCTTTTTAGTACTGAGACCTTAACAATCAAAGGACTTGTTACATTGGTAGACTGTGCTAGAGGAACCGCAAAGAGGTCTTAATTTGGAATTCTATAGGTAATATGTGGTAATACTCATTTCTAAATGGTCTCTATTTAGTGCTGGGAGCCTAAAAATTAGAGATCTTCTTACATTGGTCGATTTTACTAGAGTAGTGACTGGTGCATCGTTTGAGTCATCAAGGCGTGTAAAATGCAAGTCATTGTAAACAAACGTTTTATTAGATAAGTTGGTTAGTTGTTTGTGTAATTGATTCGTTTAAATAAACTGTTAGATGTAGACGGTTTTTACTATTATTGCTATTATTAGAATGATTATTCCGACCTCACTTAGTTTTTACTAAGTGGTTGGTTTTTGTGTGATTTATTAATAGAATACCTGACAGATACATTATTGAACGAAAGGAAGGAAGAAACTCCTAATTATAATTTTATTAATAAGATCATGGGTGTGAAACGTGGAAGGTCACCAAGGTTATCTCGCACCAGCTGCAGGTCTTCATCAACCGCTGCCTTCGCCGAATAGGTACACTGGAGCGAGATCAAGCGAGAAGCTCAAGACCGAACGAGATGGAGGACTGTTGTGGACGCCCTCTGCCCCATCTAGGGGACATAGGACCATAAGTCAAGTAAGTCAATAAGATCATCATAATACGGATAGTACTGATATTGGAATTTGTATCTGGTTTCGATGCCAAATTAGAATTTTAAGTTTTGTGGCATGGTGCTCTATCTGGGCAGCAAGGTTCTGAAGTGGAGGCCTCGTACTGGAAACCGCACCGTAGGACGTCCACCCACAAGGTGGACCGACGACCTCATAAAGGTAGCGGGAAGGCGCTGGATGCAGGCCGCCACCAACCGGCCATTGTGGAAATCATTGGAGGAGGCATATGTTCAGCAGTGGACGTCCTATGGCTGAAAATGATGACGATGTGCTCTATAAACGCCCGCGTGTGTCGGGACTCAAGAAAGAGAGTCAAAACACCGGGATATCTGTACGGGGTATGATAGGGAGATGTCAGATGTCCACGGGATAATGAAAGCTATTTTACAGGCAATAGCATCATTTATTGAGATTCAAGCTAGCTAATATACTCGTGGTTGAACCTAGTGTGCATGCATTTCCAAGAGGTAATTCCAAAAAATGAATATTAGCGCGTGCTAAAAGAGCACAGCGCCATCTGTTATCCAAAATAGGAAATACGTTTTACTTACGTTAGCTCTAGGTGGACTTGCTGACATTTCTGTAACTCGAAAATTATTAAAATCCTGTCGTGCCCTGAGTGCTCAAGCAACTGCACTCAGGAGGATTTGATGAGTGCTACTGACAACGCCACTCTTGTGGCGGAGTTTTGGGCTGACACTGTGTAGGTTTATTGTCGACACGAAAAGAAGAAAATACCTACTATATTTTATTCACTTTTACCATTTCTGCTAAGCTTGTGGTGTTATTAGTGGTTTCACCACAAGCAGCAGTCGACAGTGATCTCAATAGCAACTATCTATAGGCTATCTTTTTCATTAACAAAAACATGGATTAAGATCTTATCCAAGTACCTTTAATTCCAGTGTGCGTTCATGTGGAATAATTCCATAATTCCAGCAGAGACGCCTCTCATTCATCATAAAAGATGTAGCTT